GGGAGAAAGCGCACAAACCACCTTAGTCGTCTTCCTTGGACGGCCTAAGATATCCTCGCGATACTGTCGCGGCGAGTGTGGACTGTCTCACTTGAGACGAAGTCTGTAGGCTCCATTCGAATGATCGTTCTCAGGCAGCAGTGGTCAAACACCTTCAGTCTCCGCTCATCCTCCACGCGTAAAGCCCAACATTCACACTCATTATGGAGGACTGACCGGATGGACGCACGGTACACATGGATCTTCGTGACGATGGAGATGTCGTGTGGGATCCATAAACACTTTCGGAGGATTGAGAAAACCCGGCCAGCTGCGTCGATTCAGGAAACAATGTGGGCTTTATTCTGTCCATTCGGTAGCAGCCTTGCTCCAAGCTATTTAGAGGCGTCTACTTTCTCAAGTTGACAGCCAGAGATGCCGTTTCCTGGTAAGGGATGCAGCTCGATAATAATTTTTTTTTCCCGGTACTTATGAACAAGCTAACCGACATAGCGATCTCATTCCTCCTCGACACTATGGACTGTAGATCGCCGAAGTTTGAAGTCATTAAAGAGATATCAACGGCGTAGTCTAGATGAGTCAAACGGCGTCCGGGGACAAACCCAAACCCGTACTTTTCACGTACGGCCTTCTCAAGGATCTAATCAATGACGTATTTGACTAGAATGAGCGACAGGGTGCAGCCTTGTCGAATGCCAGACCTAATGGCGAACGGTTCTGAAAGGTTGTTATGACCAGAACCCGCACAATTTTGCAGTGGTTGTATGCCTTGATCATGGCAGTGATTTTTGGTGGTACAGCATCAAGTGCTATTATCCGTCAGTCGGGTTCATGATGGATGGAGTCGAACGCAGCGGCAAAGTCAAAAAAGCAGTCGGCCATTGGTTGTTAGAAGCTATGGCGCAATTCAAGGATCTGTCTCAGGGGAATGGTTGGCCCAAACATCGATATCCGGCTTGTTTTGACCGCTTCCTAGAGTCCCGCACAGACCTTCATCGGACGATGTTGGTGTCGGATGTCAGGGAGGGTTTGCAAAAACCAGAAACAACTGTCACTTCAGCTTCGTTCTGTCTTTCTAAGTCAATCACTCTTATAATTGACTTATCGCTTGTTGACCAGATAAGTAGAATTCCGTTGGACATCCCGATGAGCAAATTCACTTGTCTTCTTTGCCGAAGGTCAGGCACATTGTAAACTTAAACAACGTATGCCGTCGTTGCTGATAGGAAAACATACGCACTGTCATATTCCTGTCGCCAAACAACATATTGCATCAGATGCCAAAATATTCCGCCATTTCACCGGTCCCCCCGTAGATAAAAATTAAATATCTAAGTGTCACTAGCAGAAGCATTAACACTGTCAATGCCATATAAGTGACCGTCTAGTTTCGGCAATACTACGCTCTCTAGGACACAGTAGCAGAAACGGATCTGCTACTGCTTCCTGTTCACGGCTCTGATGATAAATTCGCGACGAATGTCGAAACGTCAGGCGAATAAACATATTGTCCCAACGATCGAGTCCTCTTCTTCTCATTACGTTCTCTTCTCATCAAGGCCTACTTATTTCGTAGAAGTAAGCTTTTTCTCAGCACAATGGTACGACGCAGTCCGCCCACATTGCACTCCCCACACGGAAATCTTTAGCGTCCTGTTTTGACTTTTGGTTTACCCGTATGTTGCTTGATAGTCAGCATAAGACAATGATATACCGAAACTAGGCGCTGGCGCATCGGAGCTCGGGTTGGTTAGTTATCGAGGAAGATTCTCACCACGGAGGCACGGGTCAGTATCACGCAGTCCACACGTCATTTCCCCCGTAGTTGGACAATTGGTTCAGTGATTTGGCATGACCGCAAAACAAGTGTTCCTTTCTGCCCAAAGCTCCAGTACTCGCGAGCGGTTGCGGAGCAAGGCCCTTCTGGGTTAGCTTGAATGTATGACTACCGGCTGCCGAGTAACGATGGCAGACGAGGCTTACTCGTTGAAGAACTCCCGCCGACCGCTAACGGAAATCACCTGTCCCGCTCTGCCTTGCGTCTCATTTTTCAAGCTCCGACATCAACCGCACAAGGGCTAGTTGTCTTAGGAAGGTAGTATTGCCGTCAAAGACAAGCGGGAGACTGGAATGGCCATTTTTGACTAAGTAGCTGTTGTCAGCCAGTCATACCCAACCCCAAGTGACGCGCCATAATTGCCAATTGCAGTCTCCTATGCCCTTATCATAACCAACTGTTCCTCTTAATGCGGCCGTCCAACAAAGTCAGCAATTCTTCCTTAAATCAGGTCAGATCGATGAACATTGACAACTATGAAGTTGTATGATCCTGATAGGGACCCAGAGAGGGAAAGAGATAGCAGGCCCTAGTCTAAATGGCAGAGCGTTAACTTCGAAGACTAACTGAACCAGGTCCAAACATCAGGTCTTCCTGGTTATCATGTAAGTAATAAATGAACGTCCCAAATCTTTTCCTACTCCTCCTTCACGATCAAGTTCTGTCATCATGTAATAAATTTAAAAAAAAAACAAAACAACTGAAAGTGCCGTCACACAGTGTCCGGAGAAAAAAAAAATCACAGCTTTCAGAAACACGTAGACCTAAATAAAAAAAAAACTCGCATGTGAACTTTCGAGGAGAAAGCTAGTGCAATATTATGCTGCTCAGCGTTTTAAGTAGCAAATAAGCGGGCGGGGAGGGAGCGGTCCGGAGAAGTAAAACACAAACAGCTGGCAGCAGCGCGAGCAGAAGGAATTGTCACTTTCCTAGGCCGGCTGTTTGATGGCTAAGTGGCGG